AAATTAAAAAAAAAAGAGTAAACTTACACGCAATCGCATTCCAGCTGCGACAAACACGATAGAGAATTTAAGGCATGATGCACTAAATTTATTATATATGGCCCTTATTAGTAATTACTTGGACATGGGGGGAGTGGGGGGAGGGGCATATGGTATTTTCTTTAAACAATTTGGGGACATAAATGTCTTTTTCTTCATGAGATAAAAATATCCACCCCTGAGTTGGGATACATTTTATTGGCCAATACCTAATAACCACTTGGGCCACCACACTTCACATGGGATCAATCCCATGTCCAATCATATTATGTAAGCACAGGATATTATTGAATATCCTAGGCTTTCTTATCCCCTCAAGGTAAGTAAACGAGGCCTACAAAATTTTGGTGGTGAATGTTGAGAGGCTATTTATCTCATTTTCTAAGGATATGAAAGTTGGGTCTAAGTTTCTACCATAAAATGAGTTGCTTTCTAAGAAACTTATAATACGCAATTTTCAATTGCCCCAAATTGATATCATTGTCTTATGTGTTTAAAATTCAAGAAACTGTTGTGCTAAAAAAATATGGATATCAGTTAGGTTGTTGTTAGATAGAATAATGGTTAGACAATTTTATATTTTAAGTAGATATGCATATTTTCAAAGCGAAACATTATAATTAAAGTATGTCATTTTAAAATAAAGAATGATGAATTGATTCGATTAGACCGTATCATACAAGATTCTGTTGTATGAAAATCTCGACTAAGGCATTGACATGTTGGGTAAACTTTGTCAAACCATTAATATTTCATTTACAAGTTGAAGGTGTGATTTGAAACTTTTATACTTGTTGTCTTTATTCATGATTTCCCCAACTTCAAAATAAGTTAATGTTGAAAATAGTGTAAATAAAATATATAAGAATATAAATAGCTTGTGTATTTAACATATTTTGTACTTTATATGTATGTATAATTGTAATTATATTAAAAGAAAAAAATTGTTTTTAATACAACTTAATTGTAAAAATTTGAGTTATATATTCTAATTTTTTCACACAACCAAATATTGTTTCCTCTATGTGAAATAATCATGATGAAATAAGTTAAAATAAATCTTAGTTATTCCCTTATTATGTATTTAGAATTAATTATCATCCTTTAGCTTGTAAGAAAATGACAAATATTAGATTTATTAGGAGATTTAATATATATTCTCGTTTCTTAATTTTTGATATTCTTTTATAGTATGTATTTAATTGTCTTCTTTTACTTATAAGAAAAAGAAGAGACTCCATATGAGATTTGGGAGCTGAAAAACCTGGGGATGAGAGTTGGAAAAATTGAGCAAGAAAAGAAATAAATTGAGCAAGAAGATATTTCCGAAAATCATCAAGAGGAAATAAGGAAAGAAAGTTTCATATATTGAAGAGAGAGAGAGAGAGAGAGAGAGAGAGAGAGAGAGATAGAGAGAGAGAGAGAGAGAGAGAGACGATTCTTTGGAGGGGTTGTGCAAGATATTCAGGCATGGTGACTTACAAGGCATGGAGATTCAGTTTCCAAAGCTGAACGTCAAGATCAAGAAGATTTGGAAATCTCCTGATTTCCGATGAACCTGCATACCGTTTATAATTTTGTATGTAGTTTAGTTTCACGAGTTCTAGTAATTAAGCGAAGTATTCCATTATTCTTTCAGAGAGTTTAGAGTTTTAACCATTGAAAGCTCGTGAGTTTTTGTTTAGATTTTATAAAGTGATCGGATTCTAGCACGTTCGTACATCGCTGGTAATTCGAGAAATTTGTTTGTTTTTCTACTTGGTGTTCGGGACGAGCATCTTCATACTGTTTGGAGGGATTCATACGTTCATCTTAAGTCCAGCCGTGGCCAGAAAAGTAGTTAGGTAAGTGGGGTACAAAGTAGGT